GCTACATGCTTGCATGAGCATGAATTATGACAGTTTCAACCAGAATGGTGTACTTTACCAGATTTTTGAGAAAAAATATTTCTTGTATGAAACCTCTTTAACCTAGGCTGTGTGTACAAAAAGTGACTGACTATCCTGCAATGGTAGAGATAGTTAGAAAAATTACGGCCTGGAAGCAAAAGAGTGAAAATATTAAAATATGATTTAATTCTAAAGTTTCACTTCTATTTGTGCTCTGCACATACCTACTTCACTGCTAAGAATGTTCTCTAAGTAACAAAATATAACCCTTCAAACATTCAACCTATCAGGCAAAGAAAGGAAGAGCTCCCAAAAGTTCTGTAAAATCAGCCAACCTAAGACTCTCTCATGACTTCCTGACACAGGGTGATGTTATTAAAATCAGCCACTAAGTATTATGGAAACATCAATTTGTGGAGAGAAAGAATCTCAGAATCCAAAGGTTTCCATGGAGAAGCTCAAGAATAACAGTGCTGGGATCATGAACTCTCACCTAGACCAAACTAGGAGGTCTATTGTATTGTTCATCCGTCCCAAGATTCAAGATAAGCCAAGCAGGTAGAAAGAAATGCTCTCTTTTTTCAGTGCTTAGGAGACAAAGGCCTTATTCTTTTCCATTTTCAATTAAAAAATCCTAAGATTCTGGCCTCAGCAGAAGCTACCCCAAGGTCTCGGCTAGAAAATGTATTCCACTTCTTTCTGTCACCACAGACACACTCTGCTGACCTTCCGCTCCCTGCTATATATAGCAAGACCCTTTCCCTTTGATCAGTGCGTCTGGGCTGTGTTTTGGAAACAGCTGGCTGTGACACACTAGCAGGTCATGGAAATCAGTTTAATGCATTATGACTAGCTTTTCTTAAAGTGACACAAAATGCAAAGAAATAAAACCTAGAACATATCACAAGAGTGAGGACAATATTTTTTCATGCAATTTCTCTTTTTCAACTTCATGTGTACAAACATGTTTGTAAATACTGGGTTGTAATGAAAAGTACGCCTTTTACTTTGGGTTATGATCAAAAGAATTTGAAAACTACTGGTCCAGAAACTATTAAGCATTCTGTGTTTAACTGTGGGTGGGAGTGGAAATTAATATAACCTTTGCTGACAATGTCAATGTCACTTTAATAGTTGATTCCAAGAAAACATTCAAAGGCACACAAAAATCTAACAAATAAAAAGTTTGGTAGTAGCATGTTTTCTATAGTATCACTTATAAAAACGGAAAAAAATTATATAACCTGAGGAATTGGTTCAATGAATTATGGTACACTTACATGATAAATAGTACTAATCATTAAAACTTATTTCACAGGCATGATCTCAAGGATTATTCCTATCAAATCTTAGGTGGAAATGGGAGGTTAAAAATTTTTAAACTCATATACAATACAGAGAAAGAATGTGGTGCAAAAACCTCAGACATCTCTGAGAAGTATAACTGTGGCACATATTTGCTTTCTTCTTTGTGCTTTTCTGTATTTTCAAAACCTTCTAGGATGCACTGCTTTTGTATTGGTATAATAATACAACAAATGTGATTTAAAATCTGCTTTACTCAGGAAAAAAGCATTTTCCCCAGGTGATCCTCATGTTAGGCGATAGCTACACACAATAAAGTTAGCAACGGAGAGAACCAGGATTTCACAAGCCTGGGTGGTCACAGTGGAGAGGCAAACATAAGGTGACGGATATGCTCAGATCCTGGTAAACTGTGCAATGATTTCCCAGTCTCTTCTAAAGTCCCGAGCTCCTAAAGTAGACACATGACATCAAAATCTGTCCCCAAGAAATAAGTTGTCAGTGGGAAATCTTGCTCTAAATATGAGTAGCCAAAGTAATGATAGTCATATTCTTAAAATAAAGTGTTTGGGGATAAAAAAAAAAATAACAATAATAAAGCAAGAAAAGACCAAAGCAGACAAGTTTTGTGGATTAATCCCAAGTTCTAGGGATAAGGGGAAAAATGGATACATAGAACATTCATTCATTCATTCATTCATTCATTCATTCATTCTCTCATTCAATCCCTCTGGCTTTTGGAGGATCTGTCTATTAGCCTATCAGCAAGTTATCACTCAGTCCTCAGTTGTTTACGGAATACACCACACTATCTCAGTCTTAGGCCGGCGTGGTGAGGATTAGTCCCTGCCCTCACAGTCCAGCCTCAAGTTTTCTCATTTGTAAAATAACAGTCAGCAAATGTCACTGACACTGTAAGTGCCTACCACACACCCAGCCCTGTATGAAGGCTCCGTCTCTGTGAACATAGTCAGTGGCACAGTGGTCCAGGGGCTTGTGGGCAAATCCAAGTGCTGGCCACAGGTAGCTGTGTAGACAGGGCGCTTCCCTTCTTCCAGGTCTAATGCATTTCTCTTGTCAATGCTTTCTTCCTTAGCACCCTCCCTTGGACTCTGCTCCTGCCTACCCCATGTCCCTCAACATGCCACATCCCTATCTTTATTATGTGTGCAGGTGTCCCCTGCCTGTCACATTTGATATAATAAGAAAGAGTCATTTGGTCTTTATCCACAGTCCTGGAGCAGAGCTCCTAATATAATGTAATAAATATACATTTATTCTCTGCGCCCAGTTCCTGATACAGAACTCCAAAAAAGTTTGTCATTTCCTGCATGGTAGCTGTGGGAGGAACACCTTTTGTTCTGATATTTGGTCTTTGGCCCTGGTTCCTCACCTAGAGTTCTTAAATCCTTTGGAATTTCCTAGGTGCTAGGAGATCTTTTGTCCTTAGTTGTCCTTGATGGCAACTCTTAGTGGGCTCCTGCACAGCTTCAGGATGGGGGCTGCTCATCTCAGAGATCAAGCCACCATAACAAGCTTGGAATGCTCATCCTTACTTCCCTTCCTGTAAGAAGGGGAGAGGGATTTTCAATTAATGACCAATCATGCCCGTGTGACAAAGCCTCCACAATAACCACTAAAATACATGGTCAGAGAATTTGGTAAACATACATATCTACCTTCCAGGAAGGTACCTTCCAGGAACTTCTTGGGGACAGAAACTCCTGTTCTTGGGACCCCTCTAGACCTCAGCTTCTGCATCTCTTAATCTGGCTGCTTATCCGTGTCCTTTATCAAGTCCTTTATAATAACAGGTGAATGTGTTTCCCTGAGTACTACAAGCTGGTATAGCAAATTATTGAACCATTTTCTGTTGCTGTTATAAACCACATGAAGTTGGATATTTTAAAAGGAAAAGAGGTTTATTTAGCTCACAGTTTTTGAGGTTGAATGTCAAAAATTAGGTGACCCTACCATTTGGCTCTGGTGAGGGCCCTCTCTGGCTATGTCAACATGACAAGTGACGTCACATAGCAGAAGCTTGGTCTGTGAGTGGTACACCAGTGAATACCAGTGAGTGGTACATGTGGAAAAGGGGTCAAGTGCCAATAAAGAAAAACAAGAGAGTGAGTCCAGGAAACCTAACTTGCTTTATAATAACCTCTTACAGTATATTATCCAGTCTTGCAAGAACTAATCATACCTCAAAAGAGCTAACCCTGTCTCTCATGAAAAATATTAATTTATTCATGAAAGTGGGTCATTCATGATCCCTAATGCCTCTTGATGGTCCCATTGCCTTAATGTAGTCACATGGGGGAATCAACCCTCAATATGAGTTTTGGGGAGGACAAACCATAGAAAAGAGGGTGAGTCCAGGAGGAAGACTATACATCCAGACAATCACACATGGCTCTGATCAGACCCCTGCCTCAGGCTGAGGGATCCACTAGCTCAGGGTGGCACAATCTGAACTGGCTCAGTGCCCCTGCAGTGTCCTGACTTGTCCCTGTGAGAGCTGCTCCCATCTGAGCAGTCACTTCAGTTCTCACCTCCCACCTGGTAACCTAACCTTACTCTAACCCAGAACCTCGGGCTTCTGATCCCAGCTCCTACCTGCCTATTTTGAAGGCACAGCCAGATTCTGGAGCTGCAGGAATTAGGACCTGATATGTCAGATCACTAAGGAAGGTCACAATAAGCCGTTGCCCTGGCTGCCTTGAAGGACCTGGGCTCTCGGCTCAGCTGTACCCCCAGTGCCAATAGCCATTTCATTCTCCACTCTCCTTCTCCATTTGAACTCCCACACAGCATGCTACAGGGACAAAGTAATCATGTCTACCACCACCACCACCACCATCATCACAGACTTAGCCACCTTAGGAAAAGGGTCGTGCTGGCTCTTGGATAATCCAGCACCAGTGTTCATGTGGGGAGAAACCCTCGGCTCTGACAGCAACTCTGTCCCTCGCCCATCCACGGGTCCCTAACTCAGATGAGTAGAGAAGGATGTTAAGCTTTCCAGAAACTCTTCCTTCTTCTTTTATTTTCTTCAGCTACCTTTGACTTGTTCTTGACCTGTGCTCTACTGAGGCTAAAACTCTTCCTCCTCCTTTAAGATCCAAAGCTATTGTTTTCAGGTAGTACTTGACCAAATTCAACATCAAATTCAGACCAAAGGCCCCACAGGGTCTCCCTCCTTCCATCCACCTCTGGGAGGTGTCACCTGGGAGCTGCAGGGCTGCTGCATCTGGGCCACATTTGTATGAAGTACTGCATCCCTGGGGGTCACCAGTATGAGGCTACTATCTGAGCTAAACACCAGTGGCTGCCACATTGGGATACAGTTTGGATGCCTGACGCCCAGAACTGTAAGGTAACAAATTTCAAGCCACCAAATCTGTGACAATTATGATAGTCCTAACTCTTCATAAGTTTTAAATTTCACACCATTCTTAGTAGCATGATGAAGTCTCCCGCCATCTCTTTCCATCCCATCAGGGCACAAATCACCCCTCTATCCCACATAGCCATACTGTGGACACCAGTCACTCCTTAATCATTTAGTAGGCATCTCAGTTACCATATCAACTGTCATGGTGTCATAGTACTTGTGTTCACGCATCAGTACTGTATTCAGTGCCTAACCTAGTACTGTATTCAATGCCTAACCATTCGTCTCACCTCATCACAGAAAGAAGGGTGAGCACAGTACAATGAGATACTGTTTGTCTTCTCAGATAGAATTTATCACCCTTGAAGAGGTATTTTGAAAGACAGATTACAGTCAACATTTTTATAGTGTAATGCTATAATTGTTCTATTTTATTATTAGTTATTGTGGTTAATCTCTTACTATGTCTAATTTATAAATTTACTTTTATTATAGGTAAGTGTAGGAAAAAAAACATAGTATATAAGCCATGGTACTATCAGTGGCTTCAGGCATACATGGGGGTCTTCAACTGTATCCCCACTGATAAAGAGGGATACTTAGGAACAGCAGCAGTGGAAACCCAACACAGACTGTGAGTAGTTTTCTCCTTCAAAATGGTCTCAGTATTGTCCATTCTTCAGTCACCTGGGTACAACTACTATGCAGCGTGTACTGACAATCATTCGTCCCCCTCCATATACACTTCCCCTTTCAATTTCAGTTTTTTTTACAATATTGCAAAATGTCATAATTGGAGGGGTCTGTTTTCCCTCTCTTTCCCTTCTTTTGAATATCTCCCTATTAGTCTTATTTTAGAGCGTCTTTCAGTGAGTTATTGTCTGTAAGTAAAGCCAAGAGCAAAATTTTACTGAATTTTTTCTATATTCAATAAAATTGTGGGACACAGAGGAATCCCCGGGACCAGATACTAGAATCAAGGATGCTCAACTTCTTCGGAGCACTTACAACTGATTGGGTGGATCCGAGAAGTGCCCTCAAGTATGGTCTCATGGGTTTCTGGTCTTGAAGACAGAAGTCCCAGAAGTTGGAGATTGGTAAGAGAGAAGATGTTCAGAGGTGTTGATTCACCAATTGCTTTCCACCAGCTGAGACGATTGATCTTTTTCCTTTATAATGTTAATAGGATGAATTATATATATATATATTGATTTTTTTCAGTTAAAACAATGTAATTTTCCTGGAGGCAGATCCCATTTGGCTGCTGTACATAATCTTCAGTATTTTTTAATCTATGTAATTTGTTAATATTTTTTTTACAAGAAACTTGCTTTGTTTTGTTTATGTTTGCAGTGTTGGTATGATGCTATTGTTCTTTTTTTCTTTTACTACTCTCTTTAAAATAAAATGAAAAATAAATTTTAAAAAAATTTCTTTACAGGAGATACTGGTATTTGCTGGTTTTTGGTATCAGGGTAGTAGTCCTACATGAATTAGAAAGTTTTCCCTTCACTTCTATTTTCTGAAAAAGCTTGTATAAAATTGATATGTTTTCTTTTATTAAATATTTATTGGATTTCACCTTTACTACTAAATAGGGATGTCTATGTTTTTTACTTTTTTGAATCACTTTTAGATATATATCTTTTTTTTTTTTTTTTTTTTTTTCGTTTTTCTCCGGTACCGGGAACGGAACTCATGACCTTGCGCTTGCCAGGCAGGCGCTTTTGCCGCTGAGCTAAATCCCCAGCTCCAGCTAAATCCCCAGCCCCTTAGATATATATCTTATTCAAAATTATTTGTATTTAATGTATGTTATCAATGTACCAGCATTACAACAATAATAATATTTAGTTTTATGTCTTTAATTTCTATAGGATCTGTAATGATGGCCTCATTTATTCCACATACTGATCATTTATATCAAGCTCATTTATTTTTAAAACAAAAAACATGTTTTTGTCTTATGTTTCCTCTGTTCTTTGATCACTTTTCCCTTGATTTCTGCTCTCAATTTTATTATTCTTCTATTTACTTTGGGACTAGTTCCTCCTTTTATAGCCTATTAAAATAAAATTTACACTACAGACTTTGGATCTTTTTTTCTAATGTAAGCATTTAAAAGTATAAATTTTCCCCTGAACACTGCTCTAACTGTACACCATAAATTTTAATGTGTTGTATTTTGTTTTAATTTAGTTTAAAATCCTTTATTTCCCTTGTGATTTCTTCATTTATCTATGAATTAGTGTGTTATTTAGTTCCTAATATTTTGAGACTACCTCATATATTTTTCTGTGATTGATTTCTAATTTAAGTGGATTCTAATTAGATAACGTACTCTATGACTTCAATTATTTTAAATTCAAAGGGCCTGTATTAATAAATACTCTATACACACTTTAAGAGGACTGTAATCTGTTGTTGCTGGGTAATGTTCTGTAAACTTCATTTAGGTTAAGTTCTATTCACAATGTTTTTCATATCCTTTAGGTCATCACTGATTTTCTATTTATTAAATCAATGAGACAGCAGAACTGATGTGTGCAACCATAATTTTGGATTTCTCCTTTCCATACTGTCCACATTTCGCTGTACTTATTGTGAGGATACTTTATCACATCCATGCATGTTTTACCTTCTTGATGGCAAGAATGCATTATCACCATGAAGTGTTCCTATTTATCTCTGGGAACATTCTCTTCTTTAATGTGTATTTTGCTTGATATCAATATACCCACTCCAGCTTTCTTATGGTTAGCATTCACAGATATAAACTTTTTGATTGTTTTTCTTTAAAACTATTTGTCTTTATGTTTCAAGCAGGTTTCTTGTAGAAATTATGAATCTTCAGTTTTGAATCATACTTGACAACCTCCAAGTGAAACAGGACTGTTATTTATATACAATATAATTGTCAATGTGATTGAGTTTAAAACAGTTATCTTGCAGTTTTTTCTATTTATTCCATATGTTCTTTTTTCTCTTTTCCCTCTGCTTCCGACTTCCTTTGGTTAATTTCTGAATGATTTGTAGCATTCCACGGTTAGCTTTTTAACTATGTCGCTATTTTTTTTTGTAATTTTTCTAGTGTTTAAAACATGCGTCTTTGCCAAGTGTAGTGGGGCACATCTATAATCTCAGCACTTGGGAGGCTGAGGCAGGAAGACTGCTGTGAGTTCAAGGTCAGTCTGTGCTACAAAGTGAGTTCAAAGTCAGCCTGAACTACATAGTGAAATCTGGTCTCAAAAGACAAAAAATAAATAAGTAAAAACAAAATAAAATATGTGTCTTTGGCTACCAAATGTTCTTCAGATGATGCTATACCACCTCACAGATAATATAGGAGCCTTGTGGTAATGCAGTATACTCCCACTCCACTCTCCCATCCATGTGCTCTTGTGAAGATTTTATATATGAAGATAAATAGAGAAATAAATATATAGCATATATCTGCATGGATGTATCATCTACCTATGTAGAAGACCTACATAGAAGACATATATGAACTTACTTGCTATTTTAATTTAAAAAATTTTTTCCTTTGCTCCACATTATTGAGGAATGACTTACAAGAGACTGCATTCATTCACCATACACCATTTATTTGACAGCTGTACCTACCCATGAGAACATTACCTCAGTTGAGCTGCAAAACATTTCCAATATCCTCCACAAATTGCCTCATGTCCTTTGTAATCCATCCTTTCCTCTAACCCCATCCTAAGATAACCACTGACCTGTTCTTTGTCATTACAGACTAGCTATGTTTCATGTAAATGGGATTTTACAGTAAGTGCCGCATCTTGGTCTATGAAATAGAATATCATACTCTGTTTGCACATGGGGAAAACCAAGACTCAACTGAGGTTACACACTTAAGTCAAGATCTAGTATATGTTAGGGCAGATCTAGGACACAAACCTAGACCCCTCTAGTCCTAAACAGTATGCTTTTACTATAAATAATGTGCCTTTTAGTACCTCAAGCAAGTTTTGCACTAATCTATGCAACAGTATTACTACTTGTGCCTTGGGCTGTGACTACAGTATAATGACTCTCAGAGAAAACAAGATATGGTCATTTCAGAAAACAATTACATGATTCCCCACTGACCTGACCTCTCCTTTCCTCT